CCCACTTTGTCTATCGAAAGCTTGGTGTTTAACTAGGATCTCAGCTTTTCACCATTATACCTTTCCGTTAGTTAACTTTATAATACTACTTTTATTATTATTACTATTTTATTATACAGTAACATTTTACGATTGGAAATTCCGGTTATATTAGTTTTGTCATTGAGGAAGCCAGTAATGTAGGGATTTTATTCTCCATGTAAAGTCGAGACGGCTTAGTCTGTTATGTGATTATTACCCAAATCAAGTGATATGTCCACTCCCACCCCTGTCTTGTTTGGTTCCCATTTTCATGTTTAGTAGCCAGCATTATATAGTTTTTTTTATTTATCCATACATTTTTGTCTTAATATTTGTTTGTATTCTAAAGTTTTATAAATTTTGCATAAAATAATAATAAAATAGGTAGTCAAAGATCGTGAAGACTGTTTTGCTCTATCAAATGATGATAAAGTTATAGTTACTGCTAGAACTATGTAGGCGCTAGGCCTGTTGAAGAAGGATGATGATGAACGAAATTAAGAAATCTAGGTCCATTCGCCTGTTTTCGACTTTGGGAAAGCGGCATATACACTGGAGATAGAGCGACTATGTCAGGTAGCTCTTCATATCTAGCTTCTGATGTCCTGTAGAGAAGAACTCTCTATCCTATATTCTGTGCTTGTTGTTTGATGTACTGTTTCGTTGAGTTCAGCTATGTCTTTATCATTGTTTAAAACATTGAACTGCGTGAATTATTTCTTGTTATTTTACAAGTTATATTTTAGCTTCTATTGAAACTTCTAACAGTCTGCTGTTACGTCTGAAAAAGAGCATTTCCCGAAACATCACCTAATAATTAGTTTTGACCGTCGATATTTCAGTTATTTGTGTCTATTGGTACTGCCAAAGTGGTTTCAGATAATTTTTACCTGGAAGTCATTTCTAATGTGGTATGATGATGGACAGAAAAGAACAGGTAAAAATCAATTTCACATTTTTTAGAGTAGAAGATATTATTGAAAATTAAATATCATGTACGACTTAACTTTAATATCAAAAATACTTGTTTTAAGCTCATTGTCGGATTTTATCCAAGAGGAAGTCCGACAGGTTGCCTTAGCAACGCATTTCACGCTCTTAGAATCCCTAGATCACGATAGGGAGGAACAAATTTTCATTAATTTAAGTTCCGAAAATGTTCATTATTTATTAAATGCAGAAAATCACCTTAACCATGGAATACAACATACAAACTTCCCTTTCTCTCCTCCAGGCACACAAAGCGAAATCAACGTACATTTCCCTCAACCAACACAATAGCCTTATCACCATACTCTCAAAATCAGATGCTCTTTATGTAATAGCTTAGTTTTTCCACGCTCAACCAATTACCGGGCATGTTACTATAATTCGCAATACCTTTACCATATGATTGGAAGTGACTGATATAAAATTTGCGTAGGCATTTTTAAAGCGAACAACGCCGCTTGAATAAATAATGATAGCTGTATTTCTTTTTTGGGTGGGGATGGGGGGACTTATGTTTATAAATTCATACGATCCAATGAATTCTTCTCGGGGTATTCATCCAACCCCATCCTCATCTGCTACTGAAACTTTAATCTTTGTAGAACTTATATTAAGTTCCTCCTAGAAACATTACCATATTTACTCTCTACAGAAGTATATTATTACGCTTTAGTTTGTACTTTTATTCTTCATGTTTTATATCTAGTTTTTTTTTCCCTGATTGATTCAAACTGAGCAATCAAGCTTACAACGATATTTTGTTTTCAATTAATTTTTTCACGGTTTGAACACGACAATGGCTAAAATAGCAATGTTTGGTAAATGAGCTGCAACCAGATTGCAAGCTTACTGATTTCTTATACGCATTATATCTTTATGTTCGTTCTGTAGTACGTCAGGCCAGAAGTTTGACTTGTTTCGTGATCCCTTGACGTTTTTTTATATATATACCGTATTTTTCGGAATACAAGACACAACGGTGTATAAGACGCGCTCTTATTTTGAAGACAAAGTTTTGGGGAAAAAAAGCTACATTCGCATTTGAAAGATTTGTATTGAACAAAAATTCAATTTGATACTTTAAAAATTACTATATATTGTTCTAAACACAAAAGAGCTCAAAACATCAAAATAAGAAAATACAGTAAATCAAAAAAGGTTTACTGTTATTTAGTTTGGTTCAAAACCTACAAAATCTTCATTGCTTTCACTGTAATTTATTTTTTTTGTTATTTAGGGAGCATTATAAATAGTTATGTTTTTTAAAAGAAAAAAAACTACTATTGTTATAAATAACACATTCAATTGAACTAAACTATGCATGTCTATTTAAATATATTTACACGTGGCTTGTGTATATCGTATAAATACATATATATTATTCATACCTTCGGTGTATAGGACGCAAGCAGATTTTGACATCAAATTTTGGAGTAAAAAAAGTACGTCTTATACACCGAAAAATACGGTACTATTTTGTTTTACGTCATCGTGATTTACAACTTTGGCAAACCGCCAATAATAGTTTCTATATTTTCTTCATATAAAGAAAATGTCTGCATTTATTAACTAGATTATTGGCTGCATTAACACTGTGAAAGATATTGTATCTAACGCGAATATGTCTGATATAGATGGTGTGTTATATGATTGCATAGATACCTTGTGAAGTTTAAAAGCCTTTTTTCCTGAAGAAAGAGTTAGTGGGGGTTTTGTTAGCTATTACTTGGTTATGTGTTTTGTTGTTTGATAGTAAGAGATTGTATTAACTGATTGTATTCTGGTGAAAGTGGGTCAGAGATTAATGACAGTTTACGGTTTGAGTGGACTTATGTGACAAACTTGTTTCAAAACTACTCAGTGAAAATGGGTTAAGCGTGGTTTAAAGACTTAGTACAAAAGAATTAGACGAATATAATTAATCAAGTTTTACAAATAAGCAATGTATGTGTTTTTGAACATTTTACGAAAATTGGATAATAAATTATTAATACAATACATATGTATGCATATATATGTGTGTGTATTGTATTAACGATTTATATGTATATATATATGCTATATTTCGTGAAAAGGTTCAGGTTCATTAGATTTTGAAGAATGTCGGTCGGTCTGATCTAATATGCTGTAAATTTATTAAATCTATCAAATGCGCTGGTTAATTAGGTAAATACCTGCTGGGCATCAGTCGACTAAACTTTGATTAATGTAGTTCAAAAGTAATGAATTATGTTACATAGTGAAACAATTTCTCGAAGTTTGAAATTTAACCTCGTTTTTGAGAATAGGCCTCAATAGTGAATGATCAGAATCAGAGCAGTTAATAAAGCACAATACTTTGTTCAATAAGATTCGCAAAAAAACAACAATACTCAGTTGAATCTTCGATATAACTAATGTTGAATGTTATTCACTAACAGTCAACTCATTTAACTATAAATGTTGAATGTTATTCACTAACAATCAACTTATTTAACTATAAATGTTGAATGTTATTCATTAACAGTCAACTTATTCAACCATAAATGTTGAATGTTATTCATTAACAGTCAACTTATTTAACCATAAATGTTGAATGTTATTCATTAACAGTCAACTTATTTAACCATAAATGTTGAATGTTATTCATTAACAGTCAACTTATTTAACCATAAATGTTGAATGTTATTCACTAACAGTCAACTTATTTAACCATAAATGTTGAATGTTATTCACTAACAGTCAACTTATTTAACCATAAATGTTGAATGTTATTCATTAACAGTCAACTTATTTAACCATAAATGTTGAATGTTATTCATTAACAGTCAACTTATCTAACCATAAATAATGAATGTTATTCACTAACAGTCAACTTATTTAACCATAAATGTTGAATGTTATTCACTAACAGTCAACTTATTTAACCATAAATGTTGAATGTTATTCACTAACAGTCAACTTATTTAATTATAAATGTTGAATGTTATTCACAAACAGTCAACTTATCTAACCATAAATGTTGAATGTTATTCATTAACAGTCAACTTAGTTAACCATAAATGCTTTATTAATTTTTGTGACATTTCACCACGTGCAGTTTCGAAAAAAAAATTTTATCAAGAAAATAGTGTTAAGCTGTGTAAATGTGTGAATGACGTTATTTTAAATTGTTACACAAGTTATCGAACATTCTAACTTAAAAAGAAAAGTATAAGCTTATTTTATGAAATATTTGTGAAATATGTGAAATATTTATTCACACTATGTATAAAACTGAGGAATTACTATTTTAATTTATTTACACATTTCTGAAAGTAGTATTTAGTTTAAATAAGGGAATCAGCTAAGTCGATTACAAAGTAAAAAAAAAGGAAAATGTTTTTTATAAGAGTTTTGCGTAGTTATTTATTATTTGTTTTTCACTGTATAATTTTGGTTTGTAAACTTGTTTTTATCGGGTGTGTTATTCACGATGTGGATTATTACTTGAGGATAATGGCGTTTTACACTAGAAAGTTATTTTCTAGGTTTACTAAGAAGGAAACTATTTCACTTTTCCCACATAATGTATCACGAAAACATTGTATTAGAAGAAGAAAGTTGGCATTCTCGCGTGACAGACATCAAATACTGCTTTCATTGGGTGTTTTAATGGAACATGTTCAAATTCGTTGTTAATATTAGTCGCATATTACTCATTAGGCTTTGTACACATTTTCACTGTTGGTATACAATAACTTTGAAGGAATGTGAATTTAAAGAAAAATATCTAATCAAATTATACTGCACTATACAAGAAGCGTGGTGTCAAATAATATTAGTTAGATATCGATTTTTTTTTTTTTTTACCAAGACTTATAACTGATTTGGCCATGTTTTGTTTTTTGTTCTCAGAAGATCCAAAACTAAAAGTGAACAAGACAACAGTTTCTTATATTTGTGGGATGTATCTTCGCCCTTGCTTTGGATTGTGTGATAAGAGTGGCAAATGAAAGACCAGCCGCTCGATGGCCAGCGAGGGAAGGTGGCAGCGCTCCACCCCACCAAGCCTATATGCTTGGAGAGCGTTAAGAGTGAACTGAAAAATTCTGTTACTGGTACAACCAATGCAACCAATTTTGATGATGACTATAATGAATGGGAGTTAGGAATTGGTGAGCTTATAATAGATTTAGACGCTGATATTGAAAAAAATAACCAAAGAAGCGGTCAGCATTCCCAGTCTAAAGGAAGTGGTATTGTGAGTTCCGTTGGCGCAGTGTCTTTGAACCTTTTGTCCACTCAGGGGATAATTAGTGGAGGCATGTCAAACTGTAAATCACCACGAACAAATTCTGGCGGAAGTAGCGCTGGAAGTTTGTCTATTACTTCTGGAAGAATGGGAAATATGGGTGCCTTAGTTGAACATCAGGCAACTGTCGACAAAGGATTAAAAATGAAGATAAAGCGAAAACACGTTGGCAGCAGATCATCCGAAGCAAAACTTGAAATTGTGCAATCCGACACCAAAACGATCAGTGAAACAGTAGTTTCTTCTGCCAATGGAGTTACTGGACCAGGCTCTTCAGAAGGCAAGTCCAAACACTCTTCCAGCAAAGGCCGGAGTAGTAGTCACAAAGAAAAGAAAGATAAAAATCGAGACAAAGAAAAAAATAAAGCATGTGAAATAAACGGAATTTTTGGAATTACACCAATATCTGCACCATCTTTAAAACTAACTGCCGATAGTATATCATTTTCTTCTTTACCCACACCCACAGTGAGTTTGGGCTTGCCTACTGGGCTAGTGTTGCCTAAAAGTGTAACCGATAATAGTGTTATTCATGATGATATAAAGAGTACAAATGTAACAGGAAGCTGTGCTTCATCTTTATTTAATCACACATCCAAGGTGGACTCGGAATGTTCTTCCTCATGTACAAATAGTTCTGTTGTTTCAGTGCAAGAGGATATTACACATGCCCCATTAAAAAAGAAATTAAAAGTGGAAATGGAAGAAGAGGTAAGTCAAAAGTTAACGTTTTTACTGTACTTGAATTTATTTTATTATGATTTCTGAAAGTTCAAATGCTATAAAAACTTTTAGTCGTTTTTTTCTTTTTATCAGTGGGGTTTCCTTTTTTTTTGTAGATATGATTTTTGTTTGAAATTTGAATTAGTCTATAGAACTAATTATTATTTTCTATTTAAAAGCGGCATGCATTATATGCAGTCAATTATGGAACAAAATAAATACCCCTAATAACGACTTTGAATGTTTCTATAAAACTACCAAACTAATATAAACCTGATAATGATGAACAAACAAATGAAATAACTATGCTTGCCACAATGTAACCGGTTGTAAATATTTTTAAAGATGCCCAAAGTAAAGTGCTTGCCTATAGTTTCTCTTACAAATAATTAATTACCACTGTACGACCATAAGATTTTATAACATAATGTTCGTAGATTTGCAGTAGACGCACATATGTATCTAATATGCATAGAAAATAAATTTCATAACAGTTATCTTAGGTTTTTATGCGCAGACTTAAGTATTTGATTACGATCAATAGAAAGAACAGACTAAAGTTTAAACGAATTCATCCCATATCAGTCTTAAAATTATTAAAAGGTGTAAACTGGTATAAATTATTTAAACAACTAGTTCTTAAATGAATTACATCAATCTAGTAATTAACGGATCGTGTTTAAGAGTAGAAATCACATTTGTTTCAACAGAAAAGCAAGGAGTTTACAAATCTTGAACTTAAATGTTTTTGTATTCGATACACCGTATTGCCCCTAATTAACGTATGTGTATGTTCGTTTTTCATTTCCTTTTTTCCAACTTAAAATGACGGTAATAAAATTGGATTATATGTTGGATTATTATTGCTGTCAAAATTATAGTAATAAAGTGGATTAAGGATAATATGTATTACTATTGCTGTCACACAAGGTAAGCTTTATAAAAATACCGGGGGGGGGGGAGGTATAATTATATAGGAGGCTTTAATTTAGGGGCAATACGATATAACCTTGATGAAGATAAACCGTAACCTCTATTAGTCTTAAGTATTATTATTGGTAGGAGAACATCTTTAACGATACTGTACTTTTTTCTTATTTCCAAGTTTTTATATATTGAGAGTAATTTTTTATATGACTCTCCCTATTTTTGGCACCTCTGCATCTATCTATCTATCCGTATAGTTAGATAGTAAGATGGATACGTACACGTTTAATTTGTGCACCTTACGTATATGTAAAAAAATGTGTTGTTGGACAGTAAGAATTAAAACTTTGTTGACCAAAGGTATATGTGCATTTCTCGTTATCCCCCTCTGTGTATAATATCAAAACACGCCACCCTCTCAATGTAAAAAATACAACTATTTTCATAAACATACACACGTACGCAATTTTTCTTTCTAACCTTAACATTCACATGCATATGTTGCTTTCAATTATTCCCAAATACATTAAATAGTTTTATATCTTTGATCAGTAAAATCCTGAGTTTGTAATTATTTATTCAGAGCAAACATTTTGTTGTTGAACAGTTTGAAAATGATTAGCATTTAAGTTAAGGAACTGGTAAAACAAGTTATAAGTTTTCTAGCAATCACATAATTTTACAGTTGATGTTTTAAAGTTTTAGATTAGAACACTGAAGTGTTTTGTTGTTATGATTCATATAAATTACACGTATGTCCCTCTCTCTATATATTTAAAAATGTGTTTATATGGAAACTTTGATTATTGAAGAAACTTTTTTTGCCATATGTGATGCTACTTTTAAGTCTTTACTTTTCGGAAATGTGAATTTCTACCTTATCCAGATGCTCGTAGAACTTTTTCTAATATTCCAAACACGTATTGGAACTGACTACATGGATTGTGCGTGGTTATTTATTACTGATAAGCTAAGTGATGGTGGTGGTTTCAACTGTATAACATAGATCAGTGAAGAGCAATTCAAAATCAAATCAATACTCCTCAAATCCAAGTCTCGTAAAGATTCAGTTATTGCGTGGTTAAGGATAACTCCATATACTATAAACATAAAAATAAACCGGAGGAAAATCATATCCAGTAGCTGAAATCTGTTAAAAAGTTTGATTTTTAAACTGGGTGTACTAAAACGTATCTTTCTGATCTGATTATTCTCATAATTGATTATTTTCACCCAGCTGCACATTATGTATCGCAACACAGACTAAACGTGGATCTTTTTAGATATTTTTAATTACGAAGAGAAGAAAATTTCTTATTTCAATTTTGATTCTCCTCTCCACCCAGTACAATATATGGGGGACTTGTTATTCCACTCGTGTTTACGTTACTCTATGAAATCAGTGGCGGTTATATTGGAATAATGCAGCTCAGAGATTAAAAATTAACAAATCAATACTTATATTAAAATTTAAAACACTGATTTTATTTGGAGTAATGTAGCCAAGAGATCAAAAATTAATAGATTCAAAAATTAACAAATCAATACTTATTTTAAAATTTAAAACCTTGATTTTATTTGGAATAATGCAGCTTAAATATTAAAATTAATAGATTCAAAAATTAATATACTTATTTTCAAATTTAAAACATTGATTTGATTTTATTTTTTGGTTGCTGCATTTTGTCTTTAAAAGATCGATAACAGTAGTTGAATGGATATTTTATTAGCTGAGGAATGTACATAATTTGTTTTATGATTGTTTTCGAAACATATAAATACCTCAAGGGAATTTTTTTATATTCTTCCAGATTTGCTGTGAGATATTCGTTATGGCCTGTTAGAGCTTACATTTCAAATTATTTATCTTAACATCGAAGCGTTCGTTGACCATAAGCAAAAATAAAGAGTTCCAGCAGCAGGTGTCTGTTTATGTTTTGCCCTTGGCGTTTATTTAACCTTTTTCCTCCCATGAGTAATGAAAAAAAATATGCATATAGTTTCAAAAGCGCCTATTTATTTATGGTAAGTGAAGAAATTAGATGCAAAATTAAAAAATATACATGTAATTATGTGACATTTTCAAATTTAGTACATGTACGAATAATAATATTTGCCCCCCAGTGGCACAGCGGTCTGTGGACTTATATTACTAGTACTCGGGTCTCGATACCCATGGTGGGCCGAGCACAGATAGCACATTTATTTTTGTGCTTAATAACAAACAACAACAACAACTAATATTTTTATATGTATAATTACTTCGGCAGTTGATCCTTATAAACATCCACCGCGTATTAAATTATAGTTTTTCAAGACAACCATTCTTTAAATTGAAATTGAAACTAAGTTAAAACTAGGCTAAGCACGAACCAATACATAAACGTCGTCGATAGTGAAATATAATCATGTTTTTTGTTTCTGTTTTATTTTAAACACTCTAGTATCAATGGTTTTTTCTTTTGAGTTTAAACAAAATGGTTTAGTACACATATTATCAATTTATAAAATATACAAAAAAGATCTAATTTAGAATATTAAAGGTCTCTACCATTCATATGTGAAGCAGTCCTTGTAATTTAATTCTCAAGCGAAGCTTTTCGAGGCCCGCTTATTTGTAGGCCCTTCATTTGAAAAGAAAGTTACTTCCTCAATTTGGTCAATGCCAACGCCATTTCTTTGGAATCCTTTAAATGCTCTGAATAAATAAAACCGTAAAAATATTCTACACTTTTTAATGTATTTATTTATTTATTCTATTTCACTTATTCCTAAGCATTACAAGGAGGTGGCCTGTTGCAACATGTGATTCTAAGATGAGTCTTCTGCACCCTAGTTACCTAAAAATGTGAGCTAAGCCTACTTGTTGTAGTAAGTAACTCGCATTGTCTGAATCACTAAACTCACTATGTCTGTATAAACTCCAAGAACGACCCTTTGTCGAACAAAGTTGTATTCTCTGACGTATCTTATATTTTTAAAAATTGTATTTGTAGGCTCGTTTAACAGTCTGACAGTAACATTCTCTAGAAACTTCAATTATAAACTATTTTTAGAGTTATATTAAAAGCATTCATCAACTATTTGTGAAATACAAAAAAAAGGTTAACATTATCTTAAGGAAACGTGTGCAGAGAATTATAATTTTACATGCCATCACTGCATTCAAATTCTCTGAGAGAACAGTTAGTCCAAAACCTTTGGCTGGACTGAGTCTCTAGAATGTTTACCAGACATTGGTATTGTTCTCTGTAAAATAGTTCGAGTTGCATATATAGTATTTATTTTAACCGCATTTTTTTTAAATATGCCCATACGTGACTAAAGTAGTTACAGTTCATATCCAAGGCTCTAGAATGATTGGAGAACCACTGGCTATCCAGTTAGTTACGTCTTTAGCGAATGTTGGAAATTTGATTATTGTGTTAGAGATGAATGGATAGTTTAGATATGTCAGTTAACAGTTCAAACTAAAGATACAATTTTAATTGCAGTGCACTTCATAACACATTTCTTCTATTAGAAAATCAATTTTGTAATTAAATAAATGTGTTGGATGAGGAAGGGCACGCTAACTACAAAGATGTATGTATATAACTTACGAAGATCCATTTAAACTGATTGTTTTATTGTTCTACCAGCAGCAATACTGCTGTTGTTTAGGTATGTCATATAATTTTACTGCAGAACAAATAGCTTGCAAGGAAATTTTAATTGGAGGAGTTATATATATAACCTTCACACATATATCTTATTACAGGGAAAGAGGGGGATATTATCAAAAGTGTTTTAAATGTTTCTGTTGACGAAAGAAGTGAGTTTTTCATTGTTTTATGTTCCAAGTTTAGCATGATGTTTGTATCTGTTATAACATAAGAACACGTGCATATTTAAAACACTTGAAACTAGAAACTTACTATTTGAAAGCTTGTTCAGTCACTTTACATATAACCTGTACGGGTGTTTTTAATTGAACATAATACTTTTTTTTTATAATACTTCATTAATTTGCTGTTGTATAAGATGTATATCACAGTTGTTATTTTTTTCATAAAACATTA